GCAGTGTCAGTCAGTGTAACTCAGTACCAGCAGGGTAGGAATACCGGTCAGCTCTTGAAATCCGAGCCCTTGTCCTACAATAATCTCAAAGAGGCAATACTGTCTGGAAAGAACAAGGAGTGTGAAGATTCAGAAGTGACATACGTGTTGCTTGTGTAGGCATAGGTAACGAGAGCACTGAAGCAGTAAAATCCAACATAAGATGCGATACATCGAAACCTCTGGATCTTTAGGATCTAAAGACGGTCTCCAACAGTATATGCATAAGGCTAAGGCTGTCTCCAACAGGAGACCCATTGCAGAACCTAAACCCAAAATGGATCTCCTACACAATACCTATAGCCTCCAACAGAGTACCTATATGGAAGATCCATTTTGGATACCAAGACAGGCATAACCTAAATCTGAGTATCCTCTCTCCTGGAGACCCATTTGCAGAAAGGGTTGTCTTTTGGGTCTTGTTGTTGGAGAAGACAAAAAATATGTATTAAATCATTTGCCTGTAGTGCTACCCAAAAGATGAATGGGTCTTGTATTTTGTGTCGTGGTTGTTGAAGACAGTCTAACTAAACCTAAAATGCATAGTTCACATTAAAAAACACAGGGTCCAACAGGCTAGGCAAACGAGTGACCTATTTTGCGTGCAAGGTGAGGGAGAACCCAGATAAGCGTCTCTCCCCGTCGCGACCCAAATATCAGGCGCCGTCGGCCATGGTGGGCCCATAGGAGGCGAGGTGGAGACGAGGCAAGGGAACTGGATCCGCCGCCGCCGACCTTCGCCCGCAGACCGCAACCCCGGCTGCCCTAGCCTTGCCCCTGGGGAGCGCGTGCCGCCGCCGCTGCTTGAGGGCCTGGGAGGATGCGCGCGCGCCGCTGCTTGGGGGGCGGGAGAGGGCGCGCCACCGCCGGGGAGGAGGCGTCGCCGCTGCTTGAGGGCCGGGGAGGGGCACCGCCGCTGCTTGGGGGCGGGTGAGGGGGCGCCGCCGCTGCACCCTGGACGACGACCGCGGCGGCTGCGGTTCCATGTCTCTGTTTTGGGTCCGTTGTTGGAGAAGGCATGTTTTAGGTATGCGACCCTTTTGCACAGGGTGACGCATACAATGGAATGGGTGTCGATTTTAAGGTCTCATTGTTGGAGATTAACACCGATGAAAGATGTCCATCTCACAGCAGCTTGATGCTGGTGTTTGGAGGAAAAAGAAAGAAGAAATGTCAGTTAACTGACAAAAATCAACATAATTGTCAGATGATAAAAATAAGCCGTCTGCAGCAGCCAGAAAATGTTTCAGCTTATTAAAGAGTCTGTCTGCTTCTGAAGACCACAAATCATAATGCATGTATTAATGGCAACAAAAGATAGATAAATATTGACAGGTAAAATAACAAATTATTGCCAGCATATTTTCTTAAGCACTCCCAATCAAGCGATCACGTTCCGGCACATCGTAAGGAGGGGAACCAACAGATTCAGGCTGGTAAAAGGCACCTCTTATCACTAACTCAGCTGCTGTAAATGGGTCTGTTTTAGCACATGTAGAGTCTCTGCCATGCCTGCAATCAAACTTGTGCGCCGCAGCCTCAGTTGGAGGGGCTCGTCGACGTCGTCGTGATTGAGGCATTGAGCCAGAGTTCTTTTTTTTTTAGCAACGTTGAGCCAGAGTTCTATGTCGCACTTCGTTTAAGTTGGGCCAGGCCCATGTCGACATGAATTGTGGTGTGCTTAGCATATGGGCCATTTTTTTTGTCTTAGGCTGTCGTTTTTTTTTTGTTGAGGAAAACAGGAGGGGTTGTCCCCTCTACTGTGCTTTTATTGAAATTTTTAAAAACTGAGTACAGGTCTTACAAAGAGTCTTCAAGAGACAAAGAAAGTAATGTAAAAAATCAAAAAAAATACACATAAGCTTCTAGCCATTGAGACAAAAAAAAAGGTGCTATGCTACTTTTTGCTCGAAGAATAACTTGAGCAAATTCTTTTCGGAAGACTGATCTGCAGTGAAGGAGTGAAGGCTGCACTTGCTTGAAAATGGCATCATTTCTAACTGTCCAGATTGACCAAGCCATTGTCACTATAATCTCCATGAAGAAAGGAAGTTGAAGCTGATTTTTAAAGGACATCAGGGTTCCATAGGGGTCAGAAGGATGCTGAATAACCAGGCCCAGAGTAGCCCAGCAGGATTGTGAGAACGGGCAAGCAAGGAACAAATGAAGCAGAGACTCTTCTACAGTTGGATGGCAAAGAACACAATTGTAATCGTCCAGTACCATTCTTTTCCTTCTTAGCAATTCACGAGTACTGAGTCTATCCTTGAGTAATAACCAAAAGAAAAACTTTCTTTTGTTCTGACAGCAGGTCTTCCATAGCCAAGAAAAGCCAGGGTGAACTTGCCTTGTACCTGAAAGATGGATGTATGCACGTTTTGAAGTGAAAATATTAGAACCCCAAATGTATGTCCAAGAATCAGAACCCTCTTGTAATTCCAGAGATTGTATAGTGACTGAAAGCTAAATAAACTGCTGATAGGCTTCTTCAGACAGTGGCAGATGGAATAGATCATGAAGTGCAGATGTCTGGCAGACCTGTTGGACAGTGGAGTATTTGTCCTTTACAAAGGAAAAGAGTTGTGGCATGGTTGCACTAAATGAGAAACCATTCCAGGAATCCAACCAAAAGAAGCAGGAGCACCCATTACTAACAATTGCCTGTGCCATTCCTTTGAAAGCAGGTAGCAACTTCTGAATATCACGCCACCAAAATGAGCCTTTACAAGTTCTAGCCGGTGGTCTGCCATTAGCATATCTGACTTCCCATACAAGGTGAACCCAAGGAACATCTATTTTGTTAAAAAACTTGTGCAGATTCTTGAGGAGCAAGCTCTGATTTTGTGTCTGTAAGTTGATGACTCCCAATCCACCATTAGCCTTTGTATCACGTACCATTGGCCAAGCTGCTTTTGGTGGCTTCTTATTATTTACATCTGAACCACGCCAGAGACAATGTTTTCGGAATTTATCAATTTGCTTAACTGTCTTTGGGAGCAAGTAAGTAGACACAGCAAAGGTTGGGAGAGCACTAAACACTGCATTGGTTAGTTGGAGGCATCCAGCTTGACTGAGAAAGGTAGATATACTAACCAAACGTCTTTCACACCGTGAGACCAAAGGCCAGTAGTCAGAAACAGTGGGCCTAGTAAGGCTCAAAGGGAGGCCCAAATAAGTAAAAGGTAAGGATCCTTTAGAGCAACCCGGAGTTTTAGAAAGGATGTCCAACTTTGTGTCACTTACATTTATGGGTGTTTGTTGGTTCTTTTTGGGTGAAAACTGAACGTCGAAAGAGACACAAAGACGTCCCCTCATTTTGTCAAGTAGTGTGGAAATAGCATTTTCTACATACCAGGTCTTATTTTCCAATAAAAAATTCCGCATGAAGAAAAATCAGTTACAGTACTGCAAAAACCAGGTGAAAAGAAAATTCATCGCGCCCAAAATGGTGACTGAATCTTGAGAAGAACAATCTAGTAATAAAAGGTCTGGGCGAACATCAGTTGGTAACTGATTGCACAATCAAGCGCTTCTGAAGCATGATACTCTGTGGTGTCACGTCGTACTTTCTTTGGATATTTTTAGCGGGCTCGTAGATACAGATACTCATGAATTGATATATAAAACAAGAAGAAAAGGAATGGCGTTGAGAGAAAAAATTGACCAGTGACAAGGAAATCATGAAACCTGTGGGCTGAAGGTGTGTTGGTAGCTAGATTCTCTATGAGCCGTGCAAGACTGAACAAGTCCGTTTCCTTTTCTTGGGCAATGTCCGTGCAAGATTGAGCCAATTTTGCGTTCCAACATCAGATTGGTGTGTTATACCTACCAGTATCATGCATGTGAGCTTTGCTTTGCTTTTGTTGAAGAACTTGTGTACGTTATCAAGAGACACTGCTGTTTTTGTCTTTTCAGTATGAAGTAGCTCAGTATGAAGTAGCTGCACACACCGTGTGTGCGCCTTGTGTAACTACTGATCGGACAATGCTTTTGAGTATGAGCTTTCGGACAATGCTTTTGAGTATGAGCTTTCGAGTATGAGTAGCTGCACACACCATGTATGCGTCTTGTGTAACTCGATCGGTGTATTTAGTTTGAACCTGCAGCGCTGTTACTCTCATATACGGAGTATTCATCGAAAAGTTTAGTCCGAATTTTTCGTCGTCTGATCCTTTTCAAGAAACGTTCTGCACTATGGGAAAGAATAACTGCATTCAAGTATCAACTAGAATAATCAACTGTAGGCATGGGTAATGAGTGGGCGTATGGCAGATATAAGAACGTGACACTTGCACGATTGTAGTAGTGCACGTAAGTGGGGAGCCAAGCACATTGGCTCCGCTGCACCAGTCATTTTCTATCGAGACCCAACGTCCCATATTGCCTCATATCTCTCTTTCAGTAGCGACAGGTCTTCCACGCCCGCAATTGTACCTAGATTGACTTGTTTCTTCTTTTTTTTTCCCCTCCAACAACGTGTCCTGTCATATTGGGATGACTCACTTCTTTGCGAGGTAAGTTGATCAATCCAAATTGACCATCTTCTTGGAAAGATAAGTATACTCATTCAAATTGACCAGAACTACATCGCCAACACCAACAGAACTGCATCGCCAACACAACAGGTCATTCAAATTGACCCGAACTGCATCGCCAACACCAAACAGACATGGTTGTTCCTTTCCGCCAGCTCTGGCAAGTCTCCAGTCAGTCTCCACACAAAAGATGGGCGATCCAAAATTAGCAATGCAGGAAGGGATGAGAGGTAGCAATCAGGCACATGGATGGATAAATTAATTGTTCTTGACACGACACACCGGGCAAAACTAGCTAGCTAGCACTCACTTAAAACGATCATCCGAGAAGAGCGATGAGACAAGGGCAAAACTACTTGTGGGTAAAGTACGTCTCGTCGAGTTCTTTCTCGACGGGCGGCGGCGCTACCGCTGCAGCTACGTCGTCTATCGCTCGACGCTGACGGTGACGTTGCCGCCGCCGACGTTCCTGGAGACGGTGGGCAGCTCCACGTTCTTCTCCTTCTTAGGTGTCGACTTGTAGTACCAAAAGTAGAGCATCAGCTGGATGAGGCCGAAGAAGGCGCCCAGGGCGTTGGGGATCTGCATTGCAGGTACAGGTATTTTAATAACTGAGATTTACTCAACCTGGAGGCTGTTGTAACGCTTTTTGTTCACATGAGCGGACAGGGATGCATGCAATTCATGGGCGATTGATACTGACCGTGACGTAGAGGTCGAAGCGGATGAGCGCGTAGGCCGTCCAACAGCAGCCGTTGAGGAAGTTCACCAGCGACAGGAGGAAGGGCATGTACTCAACGCTCTTCGTCTTGATCACTTTACCCTGCACAAAAAAGAAAGATCACAGTTGACATCTGACCGCCAAATAGCTAGATCCATTCAACGACAGAAACATTTCACTATGATTCAAATCGGAGTGCGAAACAAATAGCACAACTCTAAACCACACGACCACAGTAGAGGACAAGGTACCGGCACAACAGCATGGAGGGCATGCAACGAAAAAGGGAATAGCACAGACTGGTAAATGGGACACCTGTACTCGCTCCATCCAGGAGCAATATATTCCAAATCTATCACGCAGAAAATTGCCACAAGATTGAACAACTAACCGGCATACGTTTGTGATAAAAGGTATAACCCGCCGTTGAACCAACAGATTCCCTTGCGTTCCAGACCCGTCCACTTGGCACCACGTGAGTTTGGTGAGCGCAGCTGGACAAGTTTGGTTTGGGTTTGCTAATCCAATGCACAGTAAAGATACAGCACCCTCTACCATGCGACGTAGTTAACTAGTCAAGTTTTACGGAAATAAAGGAGGAAAACATGTACTCAAAGATCAAGGTGTCCAGCAGGGACAGGAATTATACAAAGACAATTTGAGTAAGCAGGGGCACGTTGTTTTGTACCAGGAGCAAATATTTGACAGATGATTTAGACTCTAACGTGGAAATTCAATGCAACTTTTAAAGACTACTAACGAAATTGGCTTTCCTATCTGTTGTCATCCAATACAAATAAAAACTTCTTGACTCACACTAGGATGGATGCTCAGTGAAGGCTGCAAAATCCGTAACAGATCCAGATCATGCAACAAGTTCTAAAAGGTGATTGGAACTCTTGACCAGTTAGCAATAAATTAAAGCTAATAAGTTAGCATGTACACATGACCTGCAGAAGATGTCTAATCCTCTCGCATATTCCAGAAGTTCAAAATATGAACAGTGAAACACCTGGGCACATAGAACCAATCAACAGCCGGCAAAGGTAATTAATTTCACTGGCAAGTAGGTCCACCAAATACTTCCCCAGCCCACCAGTCAGTGACTATGCATACCTACCAGATAAACGCCTCGGTCTCTCCCCACAATAGTGTCAGAACTAGTAACTTCTGTTGGCCGGTTCGTTTCGTGGCTGCTGGCTGGTTTGTGTGAGAGAAAAATACTGTTCCGGCTGGAAATTTACGATCGTTTACGATAAGCCACAGCCAAACGAACAGGCTGTATATCTAGATTAGTAACGATTAAAAATTATCACAACCATCCACCGACATGTGGGTCCCAAAATTAAACCCATGCAGATAAATGCTTGCCTAATTATGGCAAGCTGATCTCCTCCACGACAGCAAACATTATCCACGCAATTAAGCAGTAAAATCAGGCAGTCGCGTCGGATTCAAACCCATATACCACTGCGCCGCACAGCAAAAGGGAGGGAGAAAGACCGGATAGATGATGGATCACGTACCATGATGGTGAGTGGGGAGGCGTACATCACCGAGCCGAAGATGACGCAGAGGATGCCGACGATCATGGAGCGCTTCTCGTGGGTGTGCGCGCCCAGGATCACACCGAGCACCACGGCGACTACGAACAGAATCTCCACGGCCAGGATTGCGAACGCCTTCTTCTGCAAGCGAGAATTAAGGCACAAAGGGATCAAGCTCAAAACCACACCACCAGCAGAGATTAGAGATCGAGGTCGAGGGGGAACAAAACACCAGGGCCATGGCACTCACGCGCTTCTTGCCGTCGGAGTAGATGAAGAAGATGGTGAGGTAGATGGCCTCGATGACGAGCCCGATGCCGTTGATGGTGACGACGAGGATGCTGTTGGGGTGCACGACGGGGATGCCGTAGAACACCCACAGCATGCAGTTGAGCAGCGTCGCCAGGTAGGGGTCCGGCTTGAACTCCTCCACGTCCCTGGCCTTCCAGATCCGCCAGAACGTCGGCCTGTATAGGCACCCGAACACAAATGCAGGCGGCGGCGGCGGCGCCTCTCCGTCAGTACGAACAAAACCCTAACCAAATCAAAACCACCAAGCTGAACGCGGAGAGATCGATGAGTGTGCTTACGCTGGGGAGAGGAAGAGGCCGAAGGAGATGACATTGCCTGCAACCAAAGCGAGAAATTAACCACGCGTGAGCACCCGAGAGGCCGAGACCCAGCGAAATCGAACCAACCAAAACCCCAACAGCCCGATCCAGAGTGAGTGAGTTCCAGGCGGCGCCGATCGAACGAGCCAACAACGTACCGATGATGCCGACGACGTTGCGGGCTGCGTCCGGGGAGATCATCTTCGGTCGCCGGGGGTGGGTGGTGGCGCGCGGCTGATGAGATGCGCGAGCTGCGGGCGGGGCTTTCGGAACGGGGGCCGGGGCTAGACGACGAGAGGCGACCACTGGGATTTGGGAAGGTGGTTGCGGCTCTCGGGGCAAGCGGGTACGCCCGCACTTTATAGGCGTGAGGCGGGTCCGGGGCGTGGCGGGGCGGGGCTGGCTGGCCAGAGCCGCCGCGCCGCAGCGGACCGCGAGTCCCTGGTCGCGGCGCTCGCGCTGGCGGCGGCGCGTGTGCGCTTATCCGGTTAGCCCTGTGGTTATTCCCCGTGTTACCCTGATCATATCATACGGCGTGGGGCAGAAGCTGGCGCGTGGGACCGGATGGTTGGAGGGCCCATGGGGCAGTGGCTCCGAACGGTTTTGGTGTGCATGGGGTAAATGCGCATGCGCTGGAGCCTGGAGGATAGATATCCAGAGAACTATTCAGACGTCGGGGATTTTTGACATGTGGCGTGTAAAACAGTTACAAGCTACGACTTGATCGGCAAGATGAAGGAGGCCGATGTAATCTCGAATTATTACTGCTAATCTAGGCTAGGCGTATATGGTTACAGTCACAGTACATTTGCATTGGCGCATAAATGGCAGTTGTTATCCCCGGCCGTGATCCTACTCAGCCGATGTCCCTACATCCTATCCTATTCCTATCCACGGTATAATGGCAGTAGTTTTATTAGGATAAACACTAGTACCAATAACAATAAATCATTTTATCTTATCTTATGCATCCAAGAGTCTGAGCCCCAGTAAATCTTTCTTAGCTGGCTTTGTACATGTACTACTAATCCGCCATGTTGTATCTTTCTTGTCACGGCAATAAATTTGTTACCATCAAGCATCAATGCCAAAATCCTGTAGTGTGTTGTGTGAGGAGTCAAATCCTAATTTGAACCCTATGGATCCAGATAGAGCTATTCACACGCCGAGGTCGTTTGAGTTGTGACCGCGTACGTGTGAGCATGCAGCCGTTGGGATTATTCTTGATCAGCAATCACATTATCTAACGTCGTTATCTTTTTGATATATCTGTCTACGAGACTACCAAAATAGGCTACACATTTTATCCGTTTTCCACTTTTCCTGCCACTTTTACTTCCGGAACAATCCTTCTGTTCTCCTCTTGTATATCGCAATTCAAAACAAATCTGCGGTAACCAAACCATCGTCATCCGTAACGTAACGAATAGCTTGCTCGTTTTTGGCGAGGTTGGGCTACTTCTAGCTAGACCGGTCCAGACAGCCTGTTTCGCTCAGCCCGGCAGCCTGGCCCAACATTCAGAACCAAGCTAGATCTGGTCTGGATGACAAAAGGCTTGACAATTTCTGTAACAGCAAGGTCGAATAAAACGGGCAGCTGGTAGTCCTCAAACTGTCTCAGGCTCTGAGCCGCCATTGGTTACGAGGGAATACAGGCACAACACGAGGCGGACACCAATCACCCCAATGCGATTGGCAAGTCGCTGAGTATCGTTTCTGCAGCTGCACGCTATTGGCGTGAAGAAGCCATGCGGTGATGCAGCACGGCACATGCATTTGTTTTATTTTATTTTTTCTCTTGAAGACACATGCACAGCAGATCTGTTTCCAAACCCTTCCAAACTGATTCATTGTAGGCTGTTGAATGCCAGAATCTATATATCGTTCAAGCCGATCAGATCTTTAAGCGGTTCCAGGTCAATCAGCCAGCAAAGGCGTCAAACAATTTCACTTTCGCCAATCAAAATTCCCCCAGGGTTTAACAGTTAACAGCTGCTCGTACAACAATATAAAGAATGCAATATAACAAGCTAACAACATTAATATGCTACGAAATCACGGTGTATATAAGCTCAGGTGGTTTCAAACGGGGAAGGGGTAAGCAACTTCTACATTCCTTAACCAGTGGCGGGCTCAGGATTTTGAGGTCGGGTATTCAAAATGTAAAAGGATGTTAATTTTTTTTTTTTGACAACCAAAGCTTAATATTTAGCATCACAATTGATAATATCGCATATGCAATTTTTTTTGTGAGGATACCGTATAGGTAAAGCAAGTTTTCATATATTTTTAGAATTTAAGCATAATTTAAAATTATTTTAATATCAATAGTTCAACATAGCAAAGCGACAAAATATTAAATATATAGTCATATAGAGGAATAAGAAAACTTATACAGTTAAACTCAGCAAAAAAAAATTGATAAGGATAAACTCAGCAATTGAGCGTGAGCTGCTGCTGTGCACGTTGCTTGGCTGCTCCCGGAGTCCCTGTCACCGCTGCTCGATAGCTCGGTTGCAGCCCCGCGTGCGGCCGCAGCTGCTAGTAGGCAGCAGCCCCGGATGCCCTGGCCCCCAGCCCCACGCAGTCAACAACGCTGCTTCATGCTTGAGTGGGTGGCTGCAGACCCGGCAGCGCCGCGCCGGCCGTCGTCACTTCTTTCCAATACATATACACATAAACACGGTATCTATAAATTTTCTTGCCAAAAAATTTGGGTATTCAACTGAATACCCTTGGATATAGCTGGGCCCGCCCCTGTCCTTAACCACCACAACAATGGCTTCTACGATGGCAGTATCGTCCTGGAACAATTAACCAAGTCATAAATCCTTTTCCTTGCTGCTGCCCCCAAGCAAAATATTCAATTCATATGCCATTCTTGTTCTGCACTTCTGCCCCTTGATATGTCTAACCGTATGAGTTTGACCCCAGATTTCCCAACAAGTGGATACAGTTCACTTAGCTCTTTTCGGATTGATGTATCCTCCTCCTTTTTGGAGGTGGTGTCATGAAAAGCTTTCTAACAGTGGTAAGAGGGTCATCCTCCTGAATCACAGAAAACCAACTGTGAGATTGCGTTCTAGATATACAATGCATGATTCAATGAAAGCACCTACCTCATCGAGAAGGCTGGTCTGAACCTCCACTTGCAAGTCCCCATCAGATCTTTTGTCCTGAGCAAGTAATGCCGAGAGAGTCAGCCTCCATCCAGGCAAGGGTTCGCCGTAATCAGGGGAAATCCAAGGGCAGAATGTCCGGTGCTGCTTGATAGGATCAAACTCATTCATTCTGTCATACAGTCCTTGTTTTTCTGTCACAGAAAGCATAAATTCACAGTTAGGATTTGAGGAGAGCTAACTGTGATGGACACGGAGGACACCGATGAAGAATTTAAAACACATTACTCAACTAGACTAACAAATAAGAAACACAAAAAAGAATGAGAAACATAGTATGTGTGCATAGTCTTCAGTCTACAGTAGTGAGATAAATATTTTTTTGCTGCCACGAGATAAAAAGAAAACTCAGCACTGTTGTAGCAGCACATACATTCTGTGCTAAACAGCTATTACTTTGAATGTGCTAATTATAGCCTTATTACAGTATCATGAAAGTTGGGCGATAACAAGCTACTTCAATCCTTTCAACTGTAACAACTACACAGAAATGAGTTCTTTACCTGGAGGTATGTACACACCTTTTTCCCTGTTGATTAATGATTCTGTGATTGCACTGACCTCAGTTGGCCTGGAATTGTTTGCATGCGTCTCTGTTAGGGTCACTCCATTAGAAGGTTCTTCACTCGTACCCTGAACTGAGCAAAATCTAGGTTCCAATCCATGTTGATCAACAGCCGCATCTGATCTTGTTATACTTTTTCTTGAAGGAGAACTTGTTTCTGGTTGCTCTACATTGGAAGCATCATCCAATTTGGTATCCTTATCTGTATTGGAATGTGAACCACCTTGTTTCTGTTCAGTGCTCACTACCGAGTTTGGTATGCTCTTTTCAGAATTTTCTCCTGGCTGGTCATGCTTTTGCCCCTATGGTGGGATGTACCAACATCATCGGTATCACCTTCCAACAAATGAGGTTCATCTGTGCTTCTTTTACGTTTCATGGAACCTGAAGCATCCGAAGCAACAGGAACCATGTGGCTATCAGTTGCAGAGGAAAGCAAATTCACACGGAGTTCAAGTCAGCTTTCAAATGTCGACTAACGACAGGAAATGAAACTTTTGGTCGGAAACTTTGTCTAGTTGGTGGAGGACCCCCAGCAATGGTGAAATTAAAACCAATGTTGGCATCCTTTGAACGTCCTACTCCACCGACTACGTTGGCATGTCCATTATCCTGGTCATCTTGTCTATTAGAATCTGAAATCAGCTTAAAGAGTTGAAGAGGTCGTTGTACAAGAGAAAAGGGCCACAAGGCAACACATGCACCACAAAATTGGCAATCTAAAACAACTGATAATGGATCATAATGCTGATCTTCTTGATTAACATTAGCAGATGGTCGAGCACCATTAGCATCATCAGGTGAGTAAAATATGACCCGATCCTCCATTGTCTTACTTGATTGCTCTGGTTGAGCCAATTTAGATGTAGAGTTTGCATCTGAATGAAACTCAGTTCCACAGTCAATAGCATAAGGAAGTAGGCGGGGTTCCCATCCAAATAAACTTATTATCTTAAGTGCCTGCTACAAAGTTAAGTGTTAAATTGGAAAGATAGATGGACGATTTGATGCAGGAATGCACAGTGAAATTACAAAAAGAAAAGGCAATAAGTAAAGGAACAAAGCATATCTTCATGTACTAATATGGAATGTCAATCCAGATACAAGGATCTAATTCCAATGAACACAGCAAAGAAGCTTCCTACAGACATAATCAAGTTCTTAAAGATACAGTTGGACTCACTATCTTTGACTATTTCATTTAGAACTTAACAAATATCATATTGCCATTACTATTTTGAAGCAACACCAGATATTTATAGGTCGAAATTTGCTTCATGAGAGTATTGTTAAATTTCCCTAATAGCACAATATTATTTCAAATCAGACCTACAGCCAACAAAGAAGAAACGAACTATGAAACACATTTCACTGCATATGGCACAGAAGGTTTTAACATGATAGAGTAATAGCCGTTAATAGGTTTTAAGTTTTTAACTAAGCACGGTTTATTCAGTTAGGGTAATACCGCAAATCCACAATAGAAAGTTGCATATGAACATTGTCCGTGGTTAATATCAGATACTTATATCACCAGGCTAAAAGTCATATGATTCAGCATATGGTTCCCATGAACATAACAAGAAAAATCTCACAGCAAGTCAGCAACTCCACAAATAGATGAAGAGAATTACCTGATAATATGTGTCAGCATCTTGAAAAGCACCATCCAAATCCTTAATTGTAGAGTCCTCAGTAAGCATAAATCCCCCTTTGAGAACAACTGATGGAGAGAATGGTTCTGATAGGAACTGCTCTAGCTGTGGACTCCTCTTTTTCATGGTCTCAAGAGAAGAGCAGGAAATTCTTGGGAATGCTAAAAGTCGCAGCAGAGAGGACAAAAGCTCATAGTAGTTCCCAACTAAAACAGGAGGAGGTGTTGGTGGAAATAAAGCAAGTGATTCATCACATATGTTATCAATCCACGGGCACAGTAGTTTATGCCCAGTGTCCAGCTTCAGGCTGAAAACAGCAGCAGCCTTTTCAACTGCACAAAACACAGCTCTCAATAAATAAAAACAAAATATAAACAGGAATACCATATCAAGCAGGTAAATGAAGCCTATACGCTCTCTTACAGATAAAAATGGGATGTTTTATAACCGTTCATAAATCATCACTACACAGAAGTTATGTGTAACGTATACCCAACAACAAGAAGAGCACACAAAAATATTGTCTTCTTCAATCATAGACTCATCGTTTGAGATGAAATGCACAGGTTAACATAGTATAAAATGCAGACCTTGCTGTGTTGTCCACGAGGAAGGAGTGGAGAACAGGAGTCGTGCCCCACAAGCTTCACATGTTATAACATCTGGCTCAATGTTAGTCCATCCTCTTCTTGCGCAGTTAACAGGATTAATAACCTAAAGAAAGCAAGTAGTTATCAACCACTACTACAAACTGCAGATACTTCACCTGAATGCACAATCACCAGTTCTCAACTAAACCATACACATAATCAGTAGCGAAGCTACGTTGTACAAAAATTTGAAAAACCAATACTAGGATTAAATTTTCAACATGGTCCCAGCTTAAATTTCCACACCTACAAGGCAAGCACCCCCAACAGGGGCGGAACTATAGGTAGCAGCGGGTGCGGGCGCACCCACGTGAAAACAAAAAAACAGCAATTATGATCAAAATTTCACCATATATACACCCATGGTAAAAATCTATGCACTTACAAGGCACCTGCTACCAGATTTTCAATTGCATTTTATATTTTAACGTGCTTTAACCAAAAACTACATTCAGTACCCCCAAACATTCTCCACAGAGGACTTAAAGTTTCTCAAATTCAATGGCCAGTGCCCACTTGAATGCCACCAATCCAACAAGCAACATTATAAGGGTAAAATGTGTAAGTAAAATGTACCTTGGGCTTGGCGAACCAGGTCATGGCCTTGAATGACCCGAGCCGACGCATCAGGTCGGCGCGGTCCCAGGGGCGGCACGGCGGTGGCGGCCAGATCGCTGACATGGCCGACAGCTGAGGCGGGAGCCGCGACCCGCGCACCACCCCGAGCCTTCTCGCCGCCTCCACCGCTGCTTTCCCCGCCGCTCTCCCGGAGCTGCCGCGTCAGATCAGATCAAACGCACATCAAATCAAAGCGCATAATAAATAAGAGAGAGAGAAGCACACAAGAGGCGCGAGCAAAAAAGATTAGGGCAGGACCTTGGAGCCGACGAAGAGGGCTTGGAGCCGCCGGTGCTACTCGACTTAGGCTTGGGGAAGTGGTAGAGCTTGTCCATGGCCTTCTTGAGGCGCCGCTCCGAGTCGGCGCTGATGTCCCCACCTCCGCCTCCGCCGGCGGCCATAGAGGTGGCGCGGGGCGGGGGATCGGCGGGGAAGACGACGATGGGGGTGGGGTGGCGATGCGTGCTTCCAAGCTGCTGCAGCTGAATGCTGCCTGGTGCCTGCCATTACACGCAGGAGGGGGTACACGGGAAGAGGGCCGCATCCGGGCCAGACGAACGCTGACGTCTGACGTACCACCTGGTCTTGGGTTCTGAAGTTATTGGGCCGTTTTCGCGTCGTAGTTTTAGTTGGGCTTTGTGTTCCCACTGTGTGCGTAGACACGCTTTCTCCAAGAAATTTTGCTAAAAAAAAACTAGTTTGAGAAATGAGACTCGAGACGTGTGTTTTAGGTTCATTGGTTCCCCAGTTTCCCTTTTCCCCGCGGAAAGCCGCTGCAGCAGCCTTGCCGCCGACCCCCCCTTCCCACGAGGGAGAACGTGATGTTTCTGTTAGCGCTCCTGTAGCGACGGCCCACCGATTCGCCAAGGCCCAAGTGACTAGCGGTCCACTTCCTGCAGCAACATATATATACAAGTAAGTACGTATGTATGATGCCTTTTCTTGGTTTCGTTTGCTTGCTTCAGTTTCTTTTTTGTTTCGGTGATATTTTATTTCTTATTTTCATTTCTTTATCTTTTTATCTTTCGATTCTTTCCTTTCTTTTTATTCTATTATATTATATTTGTTTATTATTCTTTCTCTTTTCTTTTCTACTTTCTATAGATTTTCTTATTTTCATTTCTTTTTACATTTTAACTTTATATCCATTTTTATTATTTTTATATGTTTATTTCTTTTATTTCTACTATTTCATGAGATACATATAATGTTCACGTAAGTATACATTTATGATGCTACGATGTATTTTCTTTCCGCTCGTTGACAACTTTTTTATTTTTATTTTTCCTTTTATGGCCTTTTATTCATCTTTTCACATTTTTATATTTTTATCTTTATTTTATTCATTTTTCTTTTGCCCTAATTAATTATTTTCATTTTTTGTTTTCATGTGCTTTATTTTTATTTCCTTTCTTCTATTTACTTCTCTTTTCTCTTTTTATGTTTCATGTTGATTTTTTTCATTTTCTATTTTTCTTTTACTCTAATTGTTTGTTATTTTTAATCATTTTCATGCTTTACTTTTTAACTTTTTTGTTTTTTGTATTTCATATGTTACATGAGATACATGTCATATTTTGTGTAGTATACATGTGATCTGTTTTTCTTATCTTATTTAAGTTATTTGTTTATTTTTCTGTATGTTTAGCATTTGTTATTTAGGTTTTATTTTTTTGTTATTTTACTCTAATTATTTACTTTAATAATTTTATCTTTTACTCATTTTATTTCAAGATATATGTGATGTTCACGTAGTATACTTGTGATGTTCTATGATATATTTTGAGATATTCTAAGATTTATTTTGTCATGCTCATGTATTATACATGTGATGTTCTATGATGTACTTATGATATTAATGTAGTATACATGTGATGTTCACGTAATATACATGTGATGTTCTATGATGTACTTTGTGATATTCGCGCAGTATACATGTGTTGTTCTATGATGTACTTTGTGATATTCATGCAGTATATATGTGATGTTCACGTAGTATATATGCGATGTTCTATGATGTATTTTCTGATGTTCACGTCGTATACATGGGATGTTCTATGATATATGTATCATGTGATGTTCTATGATACATTTCTTTTGTTTTTTTGTGCTTTTTTGTTTTTTCCTTTCAATATTATTTTGATTTTTTGTTCTTTCTTTACCATTTTATTTCCCTTTTTCTTCTTATTTTATTTAACTGCAATTGAATTTTTGTTCTTTTCCTGTTACATAGTTTTTACTCTTTATCACTAATGTTCGTGTACTATACATATGATGTTCTACGATATGTTTATGGATGTTCAAGTAGTATAAGAGAGATGTTTCATTATTATCTTTGAATATTGACATGATACTTATGAAGTGTTCTATGAAATATTTTAGGTTGTAAGTAATATCTAGGTGATATTTTTTGAACTTAAATGGTTTGATATCCTTTAATAAAGAAAATATTTCATATTTATCACAAAACACTTAGGGTCTGTTCGGCTGGTATATAAGCCGGTTGGTTTCGGCTAATTCAATAGTGTTATGTGAGGAAAAATGAGTTAAAATAGGAAAAGTTGTTCAAGCGAACAGGCCTTATATGGTGCAAATGCTAGGGACTCTACATCTTAGACCATAAGTCTTGCGTTTGAGTACGGTTCGATTCCGTGTAATTACTATTTTTTGTGAATCGGTATTTTCTATTTATTTTTTTTGGAGAAAGTGAATCATTATTTTCTAGTTTTTTTCTGGACTTTTGGAGTAGTGGCCTAGTGGGGCTGGAGTCCTACAGACGTGTGTACAGTATGTAGCACTACTGTACTGGATATGAGTACTCCGTGCGTTCATCCACTGCAACGTGAGCGTCTCTTGCAGTTGCAGACAAGACAAGCAGGCACCAGGGATCGTGGAAAATATGTGCCGGTCAAAACCAAGCATGCATGCATGCGTCGTACGAACTGGCGAGCGCGGACGGGCGGGCGGGTGGGCCTTCAAGCGCGGGAAAGCGCGTGGTAGCAGGCGGGAACGGACGTGGGCCTGAACCGAAAAAGAAAAAGAAAAGGCCCAACACGCGACGGAAATAATTTTCAGGTCGGTAGGTAGGCGCTCCCTTTTCCCCGTTCACTGCACAAACTAAAACACATTTACATACCAAACCAAGTGTTTTTCTACCACAGGTCTACGAATGTTACTGTTTGAACATGTATATCAATTGTACTTGTAGACATCAGTATTTTTTTAAATCCTACCAGAAGAAGATGTATTCTTACGTCTTCGTAAACATAACCTTTGCCATTGATGTTGTTGATCAACTAGAAATGCCAACAATACAAAGGAGGAGACTTCTTAAATTATATCGATGCATGAACCAAAGGAAAACTTGCACACATATATAAAAAAAGGAAAAAAACATAAAACCCGCATTATTCTTTGGCTCTAGCAATCTATTAACAAAGTGGGCCCTTCTTCCTCCTCACTCTTCTTCCGCACTTTACCGGTTAGGTTCAAAATTGTTGGATGAACCTTTCCTCCGGCGAGGGAGTTGGGCTTGAGATTGAGCAGTTGTGAACTTGTGACAGACTATGGAAACGAATTATGGCCACATGGGAAGTCTAGGATGATAGTCACCAGCACATAGGTAGTGTAGTAATGCCAGTGGGCCGAGAAGGTGGGGGTCATGACGAGGTCCTTGACATATATAGCATCATAGTATGTTAGGATGATGAGCTGACACATGCAAGGAAGGGCAGAAGACATGTGATGTACCTGGAGGATGCTATAGGCCTCAATATACAATAACATCAAAATCTTTATTTGTGGAACCGACGGTGGTGCAACCAACCGTGTATTAGTTTTCTAGGCAAATTGTTCATCATGACACATCCTCACTGAAAGTACATCTAGGCCCGAGTTTTGGTGGATTGAATGACAAACGTAATTAAGGAACTAACATATTTGAATGAAATCATGTGCGGTTTGTTTAGTCTATTTATTATTAATTAGTAACTTATTAGTGAGATGATCAGTGTAGTTTATTGTTATTTAGCAAACACCATATCACATTAGTGTTGACTATGGATAATTAGCCTATTTTTGTTAATTAGTGCTTACTAGTGGAATATTAATGATAATTAATATTTCATGTTATAAGTTAATAATTAACATGATAAGGCCAACATTGATTGCCCATTGATTATCATCTACTTGTTATTATTTGAAGTTAATAGATATAAGTAGTTGACAATCTCATCTCATTTATTCTCATCCATCTTTTTTTAGGGTATTCTCATCCATCTAAACAAACAAAAATTTGGCTTATCCATGATTCCATCCGTAAAATCATGGACCGCAGCGTTCACCAACCTAGCTTGCCTCATATCCAAACACACTCTAAGCATGTCACAACTGATCCATATATCAATTTCATTAAGATGAGGCTGGCAGCTTGAGATCATGATGGGCTCAGAGTTCTTAGTGACCCTAAAAAGTACAAAAGAGATTGACTACGTACAAAACAAGGGGAGGGGCAATTAAAAAGCCTTTGTTTACTACTTTCATGTTCAATTTAGTTGCACATCACCCATACTTAATGTAATAATGTGCATGGTTCTTGAGAAGAAAAGAAAAGGCAGAGAAAGAGAGAAGCTGCAACAGTGCATTTAGTACATGACTCGCAAGTCACAAGCTTGCCTTTTCAAAGTGAAAATCGATCTATACAATGGCATGACTTGATGCTCCAACTTTATCTATGTGAGAAGTCTAATATTCCCTCCATCCAAAAGAATTTAAATAATGTTCAGTCAAATGATTATATAAAAATGTACCAATATTTTTAACTAAATAAGTTTCATTAGATTCGTTATAAAATATTATTTTTATGATTTGGAGTCATATACGTTGGTAATATTTCTACAAATATAAGATATTTTGATTCTAATCTATTACTGTCGGTATGTCCGGCAGTCTATCGAGGGGTATACGTGAGGGAACCGGATGGTGGCACAGAACGCAAGAGACAACGATTAGTCAGGTTTAAGCCGTCGGCTTGATGAAATACCCTATGCCATGTGTCTTTGTGGATTATATTATGAGAGATCAGATGCCTTAGGCTAAGCCTAGGATCCGTATGAGGATATCGACTAGGGGACTCCTGCCCCTTCTTATATACTCTGGAGGGGTAGGGTTACAAGAAAAATATCCTATTTGGTATTACAATATCTTATTGTAGCCTTGCGTTATACGCCGACCAGTTCCGTGCGTCGCACGCCTTGATCTTGTGGGCTGAGTCACCTCTAATGGTGTGGCCCATGTCTTGTCCTGTGAATACCGGAGGTCGTACCCCTAGTTACCACATAAAAATAGATAACGCTCTAGTCCAACAAAATCTTGGTACGCGTGCCTCCCCTAGCGCCCCTCT